TTGAATCCATTCGTATTACCCCTGCCAACATTGTCTGCGTTCAGCTTCTGCCTATCCGCAGAAGCTGCAATTGCATCTTGTACAATCGAACGACTGCTTGTCGTTCCTGGACAAAGTCCATTGCTTGAGAGCTGAACCCCGGATCCAGCTCATTGGTCTTGTCCGCGTCTGTTCCCTGCACAGACTCGCCACTTGTAGTCGCATCAGTCCCAGACTGTGCGTGCCTCTTTGTGGTGTCAGTGCCGGGCACTGACACTTTGTGTGTGATCGCAACAGGCCCAGCCTGTGCATGAAGCTTCTCAGTATCGATGCCCGGCATCGATACATCACTTGGTCGTGCAACAGGCTCGGTCTGTGCGTGAGTCTTCTCGGTGTCTGTGCCCCGCACAGACACGTTGTCCTGGGATGAAGCAGGTGTCGCCTGCTCGTGGTTCTTCACAGTGTCAGTGCCCGGCACTGACACGTCACCTTGCCGTGTGCGGGGCCTCGCTCTCGCACGTGTCGTCGCAGTGGATAGGTCCGTATCAGCTGTATTCTGCGGTTGTCCGAGCGCAACCGTAGATCCTCCCCCACTTAAGGAGGAAGCCACCGCCCCGAGCGTGCTCGGAAGGCGTGGATGCCGCATGGCGTTCACGACGAACGGTGTATGCTCAGTCGAGGCATGCAACGCGTTGTTGATGGCGAACTCGGCCATCGGCAAGTAGTCGCTCCAGTTGTGGAACGCCTGGGCGTAGCTCTTCAGCAAGTACACGAGCACGCGGTTCACGCGCTCGGTTTGCCTGTCCGTCTGCGGATGATCCGCAGTCGACATTGAGAACTGCGTTCCAAGAAGTGTGAACACTTCTTGCCTGAAACGCGCCGTGAAGCGCGGATCGCGGTCCGACACAAAGTCGTTGGGTATGCCATGGTGCTTGAACACCATGTCGACGAACAGACGTGCCGTTTGTAAGGAGGTCACCTCCGCTGCGACAGCAGCGAGATGCACCATGCTGAACCGGTCCACAAAGGCCACAATACCAGTCTTCCGCCTGGAATC